GCTCCTGTTGAGCATCTGCCCCCTGGTGGTCAGTGAGCATCATAGCAACTGGTTGTTCCATGGTTTAGTCTATTTGCATATTAGCCTTTTATTATATAGGATTGTGTTTGACATTCTTATATTTGATTATTATAAGTTTTTCATATAATCAAACACATCTATGTAGAACAAAATTGTATACTTCTTTGTTTTGAATAAGAAGGCTAGTTATTTTAGTTTGTATCCTACTAAGTATATACTAAGCATTATTATTATAAACAAAGGAGATTTGAATGGCTTGTTTGTATAAGATGATTTTCTCATCTACCTCAGATTCTTAATTTATTTTCTTAAATGTAGAATTCAATTTCCTTCCTGTGTTTGTACATTATTGAGGCCTTCTACAGATTATTTCGTGCTTTGTACATGATGGCTGCCTGCATTTATTGGTGTGTGACCTATTTATGCCATTTAAAAGGTATGTGGCATATTTTTTGACTTGTGAGTGAAAATTATTACATAACTATCACTTGTCATTATCATGGGACTATCCAGCTGTAAAAAAAAGTTTTTCATATAATCAAACACGTCTATGTAGAACAAAATTGTATACTTCTTTGTTTTGAATAAGAAGGCTAGTTATTTTAGTTTGTATCCTACTAAGCATATACTTGTTGAACACTTTGTGCTAACTTGGTCTATATGTTTGGAAGTTCTCTTCACTCTTCCGCATGAACAGGCCAGTATCATGCTGTGTTGTAATTGTGTCAACAAACCACAGTGTATTCCTCTATGCATTTAGCCAATAATAATAACTTTATTGATCAATGAGAAATTATAACAGATTATACAGGAACACATCACATTTAGAGAGGAAAGGAGAAGTGTAGGTGGCCCTTCAGCCTGCATAGAAGACTCAGGAAATATAAAGGAAAATGAATGTAGGGTAGTAAATTAGTGACTGTGCTATTTGCTCTTTTTTTTTCTTTTCTTTTGTTAGAGCTTGTTCTATCTCTAAAGCTTGCAAGAAGGAAAACTACCATTTGACTTCAGTGAATAAAAACAATTCTCGAATGCTCCATGTGTAGTTTTTTTCTTCAGTTAGTTCAAGTTGAGTTGCTCTCATTGACAAAGTTACCAGGATAAATAACTAATATTATAACCATTTCCATGACATGATTCATGAAAGAAATGCAATATTCATAGTTTTTACTAGATTTTTCATTAGATCTGTATACCCGACTACATCTCCTCAAATAATTACAATTGCTGACAAATCTTACAGTTTAAATTGTCTCCCTTAACTAAAAAACTCAAAATCCTTGAATAATATAATTTAACATCTACTAAATTTTTCAAAATGTAGTTTTTTGGTATGGGTACTTGTTAAATCTTCATTGTTACGTATGCGGCTATATATTGCTAGATATTATTTTCTTCCTTTTAGTGATTTTGGTCTTTTTCAATTGAATAGCTTAAATAAAGGAAGATTCCAACTTTAAAAAAATCATTTCTTTCTTAAAAGTACATTGGAAACTTTTGTAGCTTGGAACATACTTTTCCATCAATACTAGTATAGTGTTGCTATTAATGGTGCTGGGTTATTTTGATTGGCACATGAAAACTACTTAACTAATGTAGGGGAAATTACCACTTTCTACATCATTCACCATCAGCCTTTCCTTTTTCCATTGTTATTTCAGCAATACCACCAATAAATGAAGTTTTGTGGTCCTCCTGGAAGTCAAACTATCCTTTTAAATAATATTTCTATGAAATGTTGAGTTGAAATTTAAAATATCAAAAACACATTTCTATTTCCTAGTCTCAGGGGAGGGAATTACTTTGACTTTAAAAAATGTTTCCCCATTTCAGCCCTTAACTACTTCCATAACACATGGTAGGCAAATTAGGTAATTGCTTGAGCTGTATGCATGAAAGCTGTTTTGAAAAATAATTAATAGAGAAATACAAATGAAGCAGTTCTTGGACATCCCCTAGTGCATAAAACAGTATAGACCTGTGGTTGGCAAACTGCGGCTTGAGAGCCACATGCTGCTCTTTGGCCCCTTGATGTGGCTCTTCCACAAAATACCACGGCCTGAGCGAGTCTATTTTGAAGAAGTGGTGTTAAAAGAAGTTTAAGTTTAAAAAATTTGGCTCTCAAAAGAAATTTCAATCATTGTGCTGTTGGTATTTGGCTCTGTTAACTAATGAGTTTGCTGACCACTGGTATAGACTAAAGATAGTTTAGAGGTATAAGGTCAAAACTAGAAAATAATTGTATCATTACATAGGATATACATAGTGAATAAAATATAAAACATTTAAATTTTAACTATTATAATTGATATTCTCCCAAATTAAAAGTACCAAACCAATAACATACTTTAGAAGTAGGGATGTGTAAGAAGCTAAATCTTAATTCCAAGTGGCTGCTAAGCAAATTCAGAAGCTATACAAAACAGTGGAAAATTAAGGGAAGCCACATGATATTGTCCAACACTAGTATCATAGAAATTTTCCAACTAGTATTTGGAGAGCACAGTTTTGTGTTTTTTAAAGGGCAATGTTAGCAGGAAGAAGTCTGCATTATAATCTGTGTGTGGGGGGTGCGGGGAGAGAACGGCATAAATATTGAATAGCCTTGGCCTAAATTCCCAGATTTGACAAGTTTGAAGCTCAAGTTCATAAAACACACACACACACACACACACACACACACACACACACACACACATTTTCTGAGCACACTGTCGTGATAGGAACCTGGGTTATGAATGCTCACATAATTTGGTCATATACATAGTAACTTATGTAGTTGGTGATGAAATGATCATTAAGTTTTTCTGACTTTCAATATGATAAATTTTTAAAGGTTGCACAATCAGATTACTCAGAGCCAGCCAGAAACCACAAACCAGAACTGTGGTTTCAAGTGGAAACCAATGCCTTGGAGTTCAATTATGTTTTTTAATATCAATTAAAAAATAAGTTTTTATTGATTTTAGAGGAAAAAATAAGAGGGGGGCAGGGAAAGGAGAGAAACATCAATCTTTCACATTGGTTGGTTGCATCCCATATACACCCTGGTTAGGGATTGAAACTAAAACCCGGGCATGTGTCCTGACAGGGAATCAAACCAATGACCTTTCGGAACACAGGACGACACCCAACCCATGAAGCCACACTGGCCAGGGCTAATTAAACATTTTTTTAAATTGATTTTTTTTTAGAGTGAGGAAGGGAGAGGGAGAGAAACATTAAGGGGCTGCCTCCTGCATGGCCCTTACTGGGGACCGAAACCTGCACCCAGACATATGCCCTGACCATGCCCAGCCAACTGAGCCCCACTGGCTAGGGCTCAAGATTGCTTTAAGGGAGGTTGCCTGGAGAAAACGTCTTTGGCACTATACATATTTTTCTTGAATCTCACTGATACCAATGGTAAACACGTACACAGAGCTTTCCTAAAATACAGGTAACCTTTTCTGAGAAGAATGATATTTAATTATATTCTTGCTTATAGTCAGCTTTTCACACAGTCTTATTTTTCATAGTGCCCAGTTCAATAAATATTCACTGAACTAACAAAAATGGTAAAGAATGGATTTCAATTGAACACAAACTGACAAAGGGAGAGATTACATAAAGGCAAGAAAGTTTCTGCTCTAGATTTATAGTCCAACCTCACTTACATAGTGCAACATATTTTCTGCTTTGTGTTATGCCCCAGTATAGCGATTTTGAACTGGGAGTTAGCATTTTCTTTACAAGGAACAAGTACTAACTCCCTACTCCTCAATGCTGTTTCTGGTCTTGACTGTGCCAGTCCTCAGAAAATCACATGAAGTTGAGAGCGGGGTACCTGGCTGTGGTTAAAGCACCTCAGGTGAACATCAAGGGGCCAATTGTTGCTGTGTTCAGACTTGGCCTGTGATTGTTCAAAATGCTCACAGGTTTGTGAAGTTTAAAAACCGGCGTGTGGCATGCTTTCCAGGCCCTTTGTTACAACATTTGTCTGACCCCTACGTTTGCGTGGCCTTAAATGCGTGTTTATAATGTGCAGACAAATGCTGACTCCTATTTCCAAGGGGAAAAACAAAGCTCAGGGTTGTGTCAAGGTTTATGAGGAGCGAGGCTAAGGGGTGAAGTGTGCGGACGCCTGTGTGTGTGTGTGTGTGTGTGTGTGTGTGTGTGTGTGTGTGTGAGAGAGAGAGAGAGAGAGAGAGAGAGAGAGAGAGAGAGAGAGAGAGAGAGAGAGAAAGAGGAGGAGAAAGAGAAGAGGCAGAGAGGAGCTGCTGTCCTCAGGATCCCTCTCTCCGGGATCCTGGCGGTCCATGGCGAGCACATCATGGCGATCGAAGGTAAGTGGAGGCCGGGCGCGGGTGGGAGAAGGGGGATGCCACGGGAGCCGGGGCTGTTCGCCTACAAGCTCTCTCTCCACCCCACAGCAGAGATCTGAGGCGAGTCAACACCAACACAGATGCTCAGATCACAGAATCAGTGGGAATCCTTGAGCATCCTCCTCATCCAGGAAGACCTGTCCATGGTGCTGACCGCATCCTTCCCACGCCCGCCTGGCCTTAGACGCTGCACGCACCGGAGGAGCCGGCCCCTGCGAGGTGGTCCAGGCCCCGGGAAGTAACGGATCGCACCGCCTGCACATGCTCAGTGCGGCTCGGCCGTCTCAGGTGCGGATGCTCCGGCTCTCAGCACTGGGCACCTGTTTCGAATCACGGCGCGGGGCGCTGCGGGGGCGGCGGGGGCGGGGCAGCATCACGTGCCAGCGGCGGCCCCGGGAAGGTTCCATTTCCTCCGCAGCAGCCCGGCCCCGCGCTCCCGCATCTCGGGGCTCCCACCCCGCGCCCCGCCCCGCCCGCGGCTCCCCTCCCGGCCGCGCAGCCCGCGGACCGCGGGGCCGGGCCCGCCCCTCCCGCCGGCGGCCTCGGCGCGTCCTTCGCGCTCACGCCCGCCCGCGTCCCCGCCATCCAGTTGGTGCGGTCCATGGCGAGCACATCATGGCGATCGAAGGTAAGTGGAGGCCGGGCGCGGGTGGGAGGAGGGGGATGCCACGGGAGCCGGGGCTCGGGGCGCCTCGGGCGCGGACGGAATCGTCTCCGGAGGACGGGGAGCGGGCAGAGGAGGCGCCGGGGTCCCGACCGCGTCCCGGGAGGCGAGTGGGCGGAGCGGCGCCGGGGTGCGCTGGGCTGGACTCGCGCTCGGCCCTCGCAGATGCGATCCGGCGGCCTCGGCCCGTGGCCCCGAGTGGGTCGGGCTGGCGGGTACCGTACGGGCCGCCGCTTCCTAACGGCGGCGCCCAGCGGGGCTCCCGTGTGGTGTTGCAGACCCCGCGGGACGGGCTGGGGAGCTGGGACCGCGGGGTGTACCTATCCCTTTTGCATTGACCTCGCTCCCGCAGACCATCCTCCCTTAATCCATCCTCCCGCAATGCCCGCCTTCTCGCAAAGTGGGAGCCCAGGTTTGCTGTCCCAGCCCCAGCCCATCTGGGTCCTTGCTCTGGAGCTGGTGCTGGACTGCACGCAGCACCCTTCTCCCCTGCCGCTTCTGTTGGCTGTTGGAGGGGCCAGGAAATTTGCGCGGAGGTTAATTTCCTCCTCAAGTGTTGTTTGTTGTTTTCTTAACACTCCGACTGCTTTCCCCCCCTCTACGTCTTTACAACAAGCACACACTCTTAGAAGCTTTTGTATATTTCCGTGTTACAGTGCCAGCAGTTCTCCTGTTTTTGAAAAGGAGCTTCATTAATTTCCTGGATGAGGTAGTTGACATCAAAGGGTATTTTTTTTCTTGTTTCAAAAGCATGCACCTGGACTGAAGTGCCAGCATTCTGCTTTGTGTTGAAGGAGGGTATTGTGGAAATTACTATCACATGGCTAGGATATTTGGTGAAAGACTGTAGCCTCTTCCAGCTTCTGTCTCTTAGATGAACTCAGTGAAAGTAGTTGGTAAAATTTCCCGGTGTGTGTTCATCAGTACAGATGTGCCTACAGCTGTATCGTTATTAGCCTCAGTTTATGTGATCCTTTAAGTAAAACTTTCCCTCTTCAGGGATCGGCAAACTGCGGCTCTCAAATCGCGGTTCTGTTGACTAATGAGTTTGCCGACTAATGAGTTTGCTCTTCTAGTGGATTCTAAATTTGCTTTAGCTGTGTGTTTGCATTGATCTTACTTAGTTAAGAGATTGGTCATTCAGACAGTTTTAAATACTATCTACTTTAGTTAAAATGATGGAGAGCACCGGGAATAAGATTTACCTGTAATCCTTGATAGTCTTGTTATCTAGGTCAGTAATTTCAACCTTTCCCCCTCACTGTATTGTTTACTAGAGTTAAAAATCAAGAATCCAGATCCACCGATTTACATTTTGTACTTGGTTTCCCCAAACAATTTGTGGTAGGATTTCTTCCCAGGTGATAAAGGTAAAAAGGACTATTCGTTTATAGTATCCAGATTTGATTCTATAACTTTTAGTTTCTTTTTCTAAATATATTTTTTATTGATTTCAGAGAGGAAGAGAGAGGGAAAGTGAGATAGAAGCATCAATGATGAGATTCATTGATTGACTGCCTCTAGGATGGCGCATGAGCCTGCAACCTGGGCATGTGCCCTGACTGGTAATTGAACTGTGACCTCCTGGTTCATAGGTCGATGCTCAACCACTAGGCCACACCAGTCAGACGATAATTTATAATTTCTTAAATATTTTGCAGTTTTCCCCCGTACTTCCCTTCTCTTCCCACCCTCTACTGTGGTTAATTATAATTGATTACTTTTTCATATAAGATGATGGCATTTTTTCTCTGCCTACTAGTGCTTGTATGGTTAAGGAACAGGATTGTTAAAGTCTCATATTCTAGAGATTCTTCTGTGTGTGAGATACTCTTATAAGTAATTCCATACTTAAGCGTTTGTGTGAGGTTTCATTATATAAAGATCAGGAATTATGTCTTTTCCAGTTTGGCAAAGAAACTGTAGTTAATATTAACATTTCAAATAAAGATGTCAGGTTAGTTTAGTTTAAATGCTAATTTTCACATACTAAAGCAGATTTCGTTGTTTCATTAATCTATAACTAAGGTATTTTTCCCGTTGATTTTTAGAGAGAATAGAGGGAGGGAAGCGGGAGAGAGAGACAGACAGACAGACACAAACATGGATGTGAGAGACATATCAGATTGGTTGCCTCCTGCATGCACCCCAGCCAGACAGGGGATCGAACCTGCAACCCAGGTACATGCCCTTGACTGGGGATGGAACCTAAGACCCTCCGAGCTTAGGCCAGTGCTCTAACCACTTAGCACACCATCCAGGGCCTAAAGCAGATTTTTAAAAATATATATTTTATTGATTTTTCACAGAGAGGAAGAGAGAGGGATAGAGAATTAGAAACATTGATGAGAGAGAATCATCGATCAGCTGCCTCTTGCACACTCCCTACTGGGGATGTGCCCGCAACCAAGGTACATGTCTTTGACCGGAATCGAACCCAGGACCTTTTAGTCCACAGGCCGACACTTTATCCACTGAGCCAAACCGGTCCCGGCCTAAAGCAGATTTTTAATGCTGTGTTACAAAATAAAATGAACTCTGATGAGGACTTTGTACTGGAGGCATCTTAGATAGTGTCCCAAGAGGGCATCTCATTCAACATTCTTCTCAATGAAATGGTTCTTAAACATCCAGTTACTTCATTCATTTAAGTCAGCAGACTTCTTGAGCCCTAGTTGTACTCGGTGTTCTGTGCTAGACACTGGGTCTCTAAAGACGAATAAGACACATTCCTGCCCTCAAGGAGCACATATTCTAATGAGGGAAACAGGTAATCGTAACCATGTAATTACAGTATACATGTAATTACAGCACCACGAGATGGGTCATTCTCCTTTCATGTAAAAATATTTAATGATGTTGAGTTCATTGAATTCATATGCAGATGAACATTATTGAACAGTCTATGTCAGCGTGGAACTATAATTCTTGTAGTCCCTAAAACCTTTGTATTTGACAAAAAATATGCCATTCAGTAATGTTGATCTATGTAGTCATTCTAGTTCTGCTATCTGAGTAATAAGTTACAAGTCCACTGTTCTCATGTACATAACATCCCTTCTCTCATTTGAAGACATCTCTTAAGAGTTCTCTTTTGTAGATAAAAGATCTAATTTCTCCTCTGGATGGTCTACAGTTGTATGTTTTAAAGTTCGGAACACGATATTCTATTTCAGATGCACTGGTGAATAGAGTACATTAGAACTTATACCACTCCCTGACTTGTGGCTAATACCCTGTTTCCCCGAGACTAAGACAGTGTCTTATATTAATTTTTTCTCCCAAAGTTGCGCTAGGTCTTATTTTTAGGGGATGTCTTATCTGTCCATGCACTAGGTCTTATTTTCGGAGGATGTCTTATTTTCAGGGTAACACGATATTATTAATGTAGCTTAATGTTAGAATAGCCTTTTTGAAACTACATGTTGGCTTAGGTTAAAGAATCTCTTTAACCTGGACTACTTTCAAGTCATGTATCTTCAATTCCTTGCCTAGCTGACCAGTGTTTTTAATTGAAAAACATCATTTATATCATTAAGCATACTCTTTATTAGCTGTGGCCTAACATTTTAGTCATGAGTTTAGACTTTTAAATATTAAGGATCACTTTTATTTCCTCATGTATGTAAAATTCTCATTTTACAATACCAAGTAGTCATTCGTTTTTTTGTTTTTTTTTTAGCAATCAGGTAACTGCTCATCAGTACTTCAGACAAATATAAGGTGATGGTGTTACCATCGAACATAATTTCAGTCAAAGGTGTAGGAAGAAATTAGTCCTATCCTAGGTAAAGATACAAGTTTTAAAAGGTACTTTGAAATATTAAGAGTAGTTTACAGATCCTTATTGTTACCCTAAAGCAGTGGTCGGCAAACTCAATAGAGCCAAATATCAACAGTACAGCGATTGAGATTTCTTTAGAGAGCCAAACTTTTTAAACTTAAACTTTTTCTAATGCCACTTCTTCAAAATAGACTGGCCCAGGCTGTGGTATTTTGTGGAAGAGCCACACTCAAGGGGCCAAAGAGCCGCATGTGGCTCACACAATTTGCTGACCACTGCCCTAAACATCTTGTGATACCAGTTTGTGAATGATTGGTTTAGTCTCACCCAGTGATTTCCAATCTTTTTTTATTGCATGGCACACATAAAATAATTACTAAAATTCTATGGTACTCCAAAAAATACCGTATTTTCCAGCTATAAGACGACTTTTGAAACGAAAAAAAAAAGCCTGCTCAGATTGGCCAGAGTCAGGCGGTCTATTAAAAAAAGAACTGGTGTTGCTTCGGAAGTGGGGGTAGTCTTATACAGCGAATATAGGCCTAAACCTATGTTTTAACTGTAAAATTAGGGGGGTCATCTTATACACCGGAAAAACACAGTACATGATTTTTTTGTTTTGTTTTTTGCCAATTTGACAAAAAATAGTTATAATTTGACTAGTTTACTACTACTACTACTACTACTACTACTACTAATTACCTACCCTTTTTGCTCCAAAGTGACTTTTTAGAAAATCAGGTGCCTATACTTGTATATAAGGATTTCTAGTACTAAGAAATAACCAATCTGATGCAGGCTTATCATGTGATGTGATCAGTAGGATGCAATTCTATTATATGATCTATATATTTATGCATTTACACCAGAAGGATATTGTGTTGCCTGTTGGGCATTTTTTTTTTTTTTTTCACAATCTGAGGGAAAAGAGGTCAGCACCCCTGATTAAACAGTCAAGTGTTGCATTTAAAAAAAAAAAAATTCTCGAGACACACCGGTTGAAAATTGCTGGCCTCGCCTATCAAGACCTGTAATTGTTATCCAGTGTTTTAAGTCTTCTAGAGTTGGCTTCTGCCAATCTGACGTTGTTGACTATCTTCTGTTTTTTGATTATTTACTTTGGATTAGTTACTTCTCAGGCTGTCTAACGTTCTTTGTGTTTTATACACACTGCTAGGAT